GTCCTGGGCTTCACACTGGTGATCTGCACAGTCACAGGCTGGCTTTCTTTCACATTTCTGTTCTTCAGAATGCTAAAACAGAGCACATTAAATAGCCTGTTGTTCTTCTTCGGGTCTGTTGGCTACCAAGTCTGAGGCCTTCATCCAGACATCATGGTGTACATGGCCACTGTCTTCTCCTTCCACCATGCCTGTCACTTAGACCACACATGCACAGGGCTTCCTCCCAGCCACCTCTGAGCTGGGAATGAAGTCCACCTCTGTGTGGATAGGGCTCACAATGCAGAGGGCAGATGGAGGTGCAAATGACCAAGAGGGGAACAAATGCAAACTGCTGAGTGTGTGGGGTGGGGCAGCATCCTTACAGAATGGGAGGACTGGGGCACTTCTGAGATGTGAAGAAGCTAAATAAGGGGAAAGAAAATACACACTATACGGAACTCTGGATGCCCTGTGCGAAGGAAGGCCTTTGTACAGGAAAGAAGCCTAAGTGTTTGAGCTACAAAGAGAGAGAGACTTGGGTGTAGGGGCATGGTAGAGTTCACAGAGTTGCCTCAAGCCCATTTTCCTTCTCAGTGGGGGGGACAAGCTGACCCAGGGTCCTTTCTTGAAGTGGATGTCACAGTCTCACTACCAGCCTTCCTATGTGCAGCTTCTGCCACTGGTTTTTGAAAGGACAACTTGAAAGTCATTAGGTGATGGGAGGACTCTGCAGTTACTGGCCACTATTTACATGCAAGTTGCAGAATCTCAGAGAAGTCAGCACTATTCAAAACATGTTCTGAGTTCACACTGACTCCCCATCCTCTAAATATTCTAAACTGCTCAACAGTCTTACTTCTGTTAGAGCATTCCTCAGAAGAAATCCTGGACTGAAGGATTACAGAAATGACACATCGGAGAATCTTCCCAATCTAGGGTCACTGCCAGCTTATGGCAGGGAGGAAACACCGTGGAAGCCCATAACACCAGCAGCAGAACATGGACTCAAAGACCAGCATGTGCTCCACAGAGCACCAGGGTGGAAGGGAAGCCCTGCAGCCACAGGTGATGCTACCTGCCACTAGCATTATGGGATCCCAAACCAGAGCTGTGGAAACAGCAACCTTAGGTAATCTTGGGTGCTGTAGGGGTATCTATACCACCATCTCTTGTGTGACTGATTATTACCACAAGCCAAAGTGTTCATGTGACTTTAGGCCAGCCACAGGATTACCCTGAGCAGCTACCTTCTGATGGGAGAAGTCCTTTTGTATGCTGTGAATATGTTTTTCTTATTGCTTGATAAATAAATACTGATTGGCCAGTAGCCAGACAGGAAGTATAGTCAGGGCTACCAGACTAGGAGAATGCTGGAAAGAGAAAAGACAGAGAAGCAGTAGACAGGGAGATGCCATGTAGCCACCAGGTTGATAGGACACCCATTCTCTGGTAAGCCTAGGCCACGTGGAGACACGTAGATTAATAGAAATGGGTTAATAATAAAGAGAGAGCTAGCCAATAAGAAGCCTTAGCCATCGGCCGAACAATTTATAATTAATATAAGCCTCTGTGTGTTTATTTGAGACTAAATGACCATGGGACCGAGTGGGACAGAAACTTCAGTCCACAACCGTCAGATAATACAATACTTTCTGGGTTCTCTGGCTTTTGGTTACAGAAATTCAGCCCCATCAATGGGCATGGGTTTTTTGTAATGTCAGATTTGGCAGAGAAGTGAGGCTTAACATTAAAACCACCAACTGGACATGTTGCTGGGCACAGAAAAACTTTGGCTGACAGATGGCTGCTTAGAGACAAGTGTGCACAGTGGCTTCTTACCCAAGGGGGGTTAAGAATCTCCTGTTCTCTACTCTTCAGCTAACTGAAGCCTTGTGAATGTGGCACTGTGATGGAGAAGCAGGCAAAGGTATTTCTAATGATTCCCATAATCCCTACATACTGGAAGACTGCTGATCAGCTTCTGGGACAATGATGGCTTCCCCTCTTTCCAACCCAACTAATCACCCTATAAACTACTTATGGAGTGATGGTTGGAATCTGGGTTGGAACTCATACATCTATACTTATAAGAGCACAAAGAAGCCACCATGAGTCATAGCTTAGTCCTTGGATCATAGGGAGTCAGCTACATTACTCAGGTCTTCTTCACTGGACCTCAATTGGAAGAAACACTTGAGGCTAAGGGATGAATTTCCTTCCCACAAGGCATGGCTATAGCTGAGACAGGACCATAAGGAAGCCAGACCAGGCTTTAAGCTGATCTTGAGCTCTTAGCTCTCATGCTTCAGCTCCTCTAGAGAGAGAAGAGGTTGGGCAGAAAAGTTTAACGTTTCTTTCCATTTTAAAACAACTATGAGACTAGGATGATAGCTCAGTAAGAAAGTGCTTGCTGTGTAAGCATATGGATCTGAGTTGGATTCCCAGAACCCAGGGAACTAAATCAGGTGTAGAGTAGGAGCATGGTTGTAATCCCATTACTGCAGAGACACAGACAGATGGAGTCCTAGGGCTTGCTGGCCAGCCAGCCTAACCAAATCAGTGATCTCCAAGCCAATCAGTGACCGTCTCAAAAATACAAAGTGAATAATGTCCTTGAGGTTGTCTTCTGATCACCACATATGCACACACTAGTGCATGTGCACCTGCACATATGACATACATACACATACACACACACACACACACAAATACAAACCTAGTGTAAAACCTAGAATGGGACAGGTTAAAGTTCCTTCCCACTTAGTAGAAAGTTTCCCTTTCCATGGAAGATTCTGGATATGATCAAATATTACTAGTGTTTCTCCATTCCACTTCACCAGTAACAGACCAAGAATTGGTTGACTTCCAAGTATTAATTGCCACCCTGGCTAGGGCAAAGAGATTTCAGGACGGAGTTGGGGCAGGGAACCTCTAAACTGCGGCTGTCTATGCCTAAGGCGGTCTGGGAATGTCAGCCCTGATAGGGATTAGTGACATTCAAAGTTGGGGGGAGGGCAGGGAGAAACTCCAGCAGGCTTGGCCTCTGGGGTCAGGCTCTCAAGACACTGGGGAGTGGTAGAGAGGCAAATGAGTTCCTATCTGCCACAAAACCCTCCATTTGAATTTGGTCAAGCAGCATTCCCAGGCATCTACCAATCAACTAGAACAAAAACTGCCAAAAGATACTCCAACACCAATTCCTGTGCAAAAGTACACACAAAGCTCTGGCAGAAGCCACCAGTTACTTGGAGCTTGAACCTAATACAGTACTGGCACTTTCAGGCAGGAGTTCTCTTGGGATAAATGGCTGAATTTGGCAAAGAGCAGAAAGCAGACAGGACAAAGCAAACAGGTCAGTGTCTTTCCAGTCCCCAAATGCCCTCCCCACCCACAAAGGCCAGGGTTACAGGTGCTTTCACCTGCCAGTAACTCCATGGGAATTTACTTGCCCAATCAAGACCAGTGCTAAGGAGGAGCTTCCTGTTCTTTCTGGTCAACCCACCAGGCATAAAGAACCCTGAGAACATATCTAGAGTGACCATATCTTAGGAAGTCAACCAAGAAATGACAGGAAATGAAACATCCAGAATTCACAGAAGGCAGGATCACTGACTCTGGGCCACTGGTGTCCACCTCCTACAAATCATTAACCAGCATACCCAATAGCACCCTACAGAGAAAGAGAACAATACAGGCATCAGCTCGGGCAACTCCATATTCTCCTTGATTGGGCCAGGTTGCTGATACCAGATCAAATGGGGGTTAGTGACAGCAACTTCATGGTAGGATAGTGTTTATGCCTACATATGAGGACACATAGCTTACATGCTGCCCTGGGTAGCAGTCCAGCTCTGGTGACTGAGTACCTACCTATTCTAGGTATCAAGACAGATGTCAACTAAGCTTGTAGCCTTTGCATCCAAAAATCTTTTTCCAAGAGTCCAGAGCAAAGTCTCTTGCACTGTTTTGTTAATTTATTTATACTTGAAGCTTTTTTTTTGTTGTTGTTCCATGGCCACATGCGCCAAGACCATGGCACAAAATCTAGGCTCGGTGCCCAATGTGGAATATTCTGAAAGTGGATAGGTTCAGCCATGACAGTGACTTAACGTTGTGGTATTCACTGTGTCTAAGGCTGGTGGTATGGGACTTCTCCACTGGGCTGCACAGCAGGTGCAGATACCTGTGTACCTGAAGCTGAGGAACAGATGCAGTGCTGACAGGTGCCAGCTCTGTCCCGCCAAGCTCCAAATTTCCCTGTGGAATGCCTCCAAATTGTAGACGCCAGGAACTTGTCCTTGCACTAACACCTCTTAAAAAGTAAAAAATAAGTCAGCAAGCAATTAATAATGAAAGAAACAACAACAGGAGTGTGAGGCACGGAGCTAGGTAATAAGCCCAAGGTGTGAGGTCAGCACATTTGGGTCTATATCCTGGCTCTGACACCAGAGACTATGCAACTCTAAGCTTATAGACATCGGTTTCCCCAGTAGGATGGTGAGGATGCCATGCTGATTTGGGAGTGACAGAAGCACCTTCAGTCCCCCAGGCCACATTTGGCAAGCAGTGAGATCTCGACAAATGGTCATTATTCTGTGACATGCTCAGAAATGAAAGCCTTTTAGAATTGAGAAGCTCTAGGCATAGGTCAACAGATTCGAAATGGTAGCATATTTGGATCACAGTTATCCAGTGAAGGCGGATAAAAGGTTCAGAATCAATAAATGTCCACCCAGAATCCACCAGGGACCAGCTGGGTGGGCACTGGTCCTCTGAGCGGGTCTCCCACAGACAGCATACATCAAGGAGCCACCGATGATGTTTGGTGTTTAAAACAGTAATGTTGATTCCCCACCGCAGATGCTGCACTCTCCCTGGTCTTAACTTCAAGGATGGAATAAATGCCTTGCCTTGGTAGGCTCAGAGTGGCCAGCCAGGGGCTGTGGCGGCCTCCAATCGACAGAACTCTTTCTGACGACCCTCTCACCCTCAAACACCACACCTTCCTAGGAACTCACCCCTCTTCTTTGGGCCTCATAGTTCAGAGCGGTCACCCAGGCCGTTTGCCACTGGGTTCCCCAGCTATCCAGAGTCATTATCCAGGACAGGAGCGTGTCTGACTCCCGGCGCCGTCGTTCCTCCGGCTCCTCCCGCCGCCGGGGCGGGGGTCGCGCCCTG